AAGCTGCTGGATCTCAGGGTCTAACATTTATAGGAACAGAATTATCTTTTTATTTTGCTTTTTACTTCAACATGATTATTGAACAGACAAGTTTGATGCACTTTTTCCTGTAAAGTGTTAAAAAGATGATTTAATTCTGTTCCTCTGTTTATTCCAAACTTATTCATATTCAACATTTCCTGTAGAAAATTGAAAAGCAAAACCCGCCGCTACACTTTCTTTGAGCTCCATGAACTCACACATTTAAAGAATGGATGAACGATGTTCGAGATGGCTGAAGGAGATGCTTTGTATTAAAGTGAGAATATTCGCCAGACCACATTTATCTTGTGCATAGCAAGTGATGGCGAAATTGTTTTTTTAACATATATCTAAAATGTATTAAATATGCTTTTAGCTTAGGACTCAGGCCTATAACAGATTAATGATGGAGAGCTGCTGAATTTTAGATGAAGCTTTTCTATTTTAAAGAAGCTTTTCCAACCTCAACAGCGCCGAGGAAACTCACAGACCAGTTGAATGCTTTGTAAGTCAGCAGACGTTGAGTCATCTATAATATTTATCGCACTAAATCCTATTTCTAGTTCGACATGTCCTGGACCTTCGTCTGAAGTTTTTTGGACCTCATATTTTTATCTTGCAGTATATTCAGGTTATACAACACTCGTTAGGAGCACAGTTAGTTTTCAGATTGAAACCGGAGATGAGGATTATGCTTGAATTGTGGTTTGAGATATTTCTATGGATGTTTTAAGTGTTTCTTTTTATGCTCCAACATTAATCCGAGCTGACCACGGCCTCTGTGCTCCCTGAGGGATAAATAACCGACTTTTTTTTACAGCCACTCGCTAAGGTGGTTTGGTTTCATGGGTTTTTGTTTTTGTTAAAAAGTGCTGTAAAAATATAGTCACTACTTTACTGGGGCAAATGTTCTTGTCTTGACTTAATTCACTCGTCCTCCTCGCTGTGTTGCAGCAGCTGTCTGTCGGTCGTTTTACTGCTGAGATTGAAAGTGTTTGAGCTCTGGACCTGCAGCCTCGTCAGAGTCAAGGATGTTTATCGAGTGAAACATTGGACTTTCTTCCCCTCGGCTCTTTGTTCTGCCACAGCAGTTATAGTTACAGTTTGTCCAGTGTTAGTCCAATTTTAAATGTAATGTCAGCACGGCTCAGGGACAGCTGCCTCTAATCACATTTTTGTTCACAATTCGCTGTTTGCTTTTGTAGTGTCCTCATCGTTTGCCCTCTAAAGCCTTTCTCCTTCTCTCTGCAGCTCCCAGGGAGTGTGAGGAAGACGAGTTTCACTGCCAGAACGGCTACTGTATTCGCAGCCTCTGGCACTGCGACGGTGACAATGACTGTGGGGACAACAGTGATGAACAGTGTGGTGGGTAAACACACACACACACACACACACACACACACACACACGTAGAATGGAGCTGACCTGGGGGTAAAGTTCATATTGGGACTGTAATTACCTATTGAATTCAAACTATAACCAAACTAGCCAAGGCTCCACCATATTTAAGTACACTAGAATTTCAACCTACACCAAATTTCACATTTCAACATATCTGTTTTCATCAAGATCCATGAATTATTATCTCGGAATTTTACTAAAAATATTATTATAAATCTCATGATGTTCAAGAGAGGGAAAGAAATTCCAAAATAAAGGTGAAGCAAGGCAAGTTTATGACATGCATGTAAAAACGTCTATCATACATGACTCGTGTGTCGTCTGTCACAGACATGCGTAAATGTTCGGACAAGGAGTTTCGCTGCACAGACGGCAGCTGCATCGCCGAACACTGGTACTGCGACGGAGACACGGACTGTAAGGACGGATCAGATGAGGAAAACTGCCGTAAGTTATTCTGTGTGAGTGTGTATGTGTGTGTGTGTTTTATTGGGTTTAGAATGTGGGTTTTTATCAGACATGTGACGAGACAAAATACTTAAAACAAGGAACTTACTGTATTTCTGTCAGGATGAAAAGAAAAGTCATTAATCATATTCTGGGTTTTTCCCCTCATATCCAAATACTTGAATCCAACCAAAGAGTAAAATCCAAACGCTGAAATAAATGATTCTGAACAAATAAGTTTCCATATCTGAAAACCATGTTTATGAATTCCAAGCAGGTCTGCTCTTTCACAAGAGTTTTCTCCGATCAAAATCTCCAAACTGCAGCGGCATGATTCATTACGGCCAAAAGAAAAAAGTGAAGCAATCTGGTTACTGTCCTGCAGCGTGTGAACTGAGATCTAACCTGACGACGTTCCTACACAGCCTGTAAAGAGTCGTGACAGCGAGCTGGCCTCCTTTCTTCTCATGAGTCCTTTTCTGACAGGAACACTTGAAGCTTCAAAGAGCCTCAAACTGCTGCCGCGTCTCTTTCAGCATCTGTTTAACGTGTCTGTGTCTCTGCAGCGTCAGACGTGATGACGGCCACCTGCAGCGTGGAGGAGTTCCAGTGCGCGTATGGACGCTGCATCCTGGACATTTACCACTGCGACGGAGACGACGACTGCGGAGACTGGTCAGACGAGTCGGACTGTTGTAAGTCTTACATCGCTCGTGCACAAACACGCTTCCAAACCATAGACCGTGTATTTAAAGATGGACGACTTAAAAATGCCCCGAGAAGTAAAGACGAAATATCTTGATTGACTCCTGGTTGCGGTATTGGTCTTTATTCTTGCCTCCTCCGTGTTAGTGGATGGGACATTGAACATTGACAGCTGATTGTTTGAGTGTGTGCATCAGCGGGAACTTGATTCTGCAGCTTGCCCCCACGAACACCTCCACAAGTGTCGTCCATCTTTATTTACAGACTGTTCTTCCAACATGACAAAGACCCGACAGTGACCCGAAGGAAAAGATTAATTCCTCCAGTTACCGTCTCTGATTGCTAAAGCAAACTGTACCTGCAACACAATCTCTGCCCATTTCTTGGCGTTCCTTAAAATCAAATGTGTGTCTCTCGGTTCCCTTGTGGGATATTTGTTGCAGCACATGAGGCAGGGGTCAGCGTGTGCACGATGACCCTGTCTGACATGCGTCAATCACACATGTGCTCATACAGCATGCACTTGTCATATAAACAGTTGACGGGGGGGGGGGTGGGGTTTGACCACACTCTGCTTGTCACTGCACTTTTCCCCCCTTTCCACTCTTCTCATGAAAATGGATGAATCCCCAAAGAAGAAGAATGCCCATCAAATGTCAACTTGGTGGTGTAGGGTCATGTGGGGGTGGGGGGTGTCAGGGTACACAGTTATTCATTTGATTTCACAAGACAAAACCTTAAACTTTGTCAACCTTAGTCCTGATGTTAAAGAACAAAACGCATTGTTACAGTGGAGTGGCTGTTCTGACCTGTTCTGCTGGTGTAAAGCTCACAGAGCTGTTGTTATCTTCTTACACACACACACACACACACTCACGCACTCATGCACACACTCTTAAGGATCCGAGGCGTCGCTCCAGGCTCTCACTAAACACTTTCTTGCGTAAGAGACGAAGATGAAGCTCTTCTGAGAGATGAGTCCTCCTCCTCCTCCTCCGTTAAGACGTTAGATGAGAGTTAAGTTTCTTCTCTCTTGCTTTGGCACGAGTCTTTCCTCTCCTCATCCTTTCTTCTTCTGCTTCACTCGTTCCTTCCATGTATCCCAATGGCAAAACTGGCACACGTGTCCCAACACAGCCGCCCATCCTCACGTCCCACAGCTTTCTGTTGCTGAACTGAAAAAGTTCAACTGGAGTTTAAACACACATCGTGAGCTCCTCTGAACTGGATGTTTGTATGAGTGTGCCCGGGTTCAGCGTGACGTAAATATCGACTTGTAACTTTGTTAAATAAAGTACTATATAAATACACACGCTATATAAATACACACTTAAAGTTAAAATAATACTTAAAGATAAAGTTTTCACTTTACTTTGATGTGAAACAAAGATATTAGTCAAATCCACAAGTTTCGTCTTCAACAACCACAGTTTTCCAGTTTAACTCTTTTTTTAACAATGAAATTTCCTTTTCAAGTGAAAAATACCTAATACTATTCAAAACTACTACGTTAATTGAAGTTTTGGACTCAGATGCCTCCCGTGTCCAGCGTCCAACAACTGTTTCTCATCTTAACGTTTAGTGTCGATTTCATGTCCTAACGCCCGACGGCAGCTTGAGCTCAGTAGCAGCTGCTGTTTCCAGACCGCCGCTCAGCAGCGACTGTCAGAGCTGGAAAACACTCGGCCTGTTACATGTTTCAAGGCACTGTAACACACACAGACACACAAACAAGCACACGCCGAGTGAAACCATGGTCCTGATTAACACAGTCTATCGTGTTTCGCTCTCTTCACTCCAGAGACGCTACCTGCTGCTGACAAATCTTTCAGCATGTCCCTCCACGTTCTCTCATCTCTGACATGTTTGTTTCACTCCCTCATCGTCTGTAATAGCTCTCTCTCTCTCTCTCTCTCTCTCTCTCTCTCACACACACACACACTCCCTCGTACACCCATCTCTGTCGGGACTCATCATTAACAAACTGTATTTGTTCCAACCCCAACACTAAAAACCAAGTCTCAGGGCTCATTTAGCACATAGTTCCTAATGAAGCTGTCTGACCTCACAAGCACACTGGGCTCCAGATTTTCACATTCCCAAAATATGGTAGAAAAAAAGAACTTGCATTGATTTCTGTTCATTGTGTAAAGATAACACTTACACACACACACACACAGAGGGACTCCTACATGGTGGTTTCTCTCTTTGATGCCGTTATCTGCAGTGTGATAAGCACAGTTTCAAGGTTCGGAAACATCGTTTGATCGTCTGTGGGGTCACGTTAGTTGACTGAGCCGCTCTCAGCTTCTCTGTCGTCTCCTCCCACATCCAGGTTCTCTAATTGCTGCCTCGCTTTTGATGTGTCCAACTTTTTTTTGAAAGTCGAGCTGGCATGAAAGCTCGTACTGTCGACTGTCTTTGAAGAAAAAATAAAATAGCTGTGCGGTTAAAAACACAAACAGCTCATATTAGATACAGAATAGGTATTGAAGGACACACACACACACACACACGGTTTGTTTTTGTGTTTGAAATGCAGATGTGTCCGTGTCACTACGTGCCGCATGGTCACGTTTAAAAACCAACAGGGTTCACAGATCAGTTCACAGATCAGTCCACATCCTGTCCGATGCACAGCAACCATCTGGACTTCATGTCCCCCAACGTTTTATTTCCTGTTGTCCTCCTTTATTTTTAATTACCTACTTAAACTGCCCATTTGTTTTTATTCCTGTCATGTGTTTTTAACCAGAGTTCATCCAGAATTAAAGCCTCCGGTGTTTTTAAATGTGTTTAAATTGGAGCGTGTTCCGTCTTTGCTGGAAAAAGTATTTTTTGAAACCTACAGATAGTTTGTGGTCACACTTTTTCACACACACACACACACACACATGCACGCTAAGAGAGGAGGCATTCCTCAGAGGCATAAGACAGCCCATCCACAGACAGCATTCCTTGGCATGGACTCTTCAGACACATGAAGGGCGCTTTGTTAGAGAAGGAGCCTCTCTCTCTCTTTTTTTTTTTCTCCCACTCTTTCTCTCCCTCGTTCTCTCGCTCCTTCGCACACAAACATAATCACACACATCCAGAAACGCTTGCGCTTGCTTTGCCTCGTTGCAAACAGTGATACTGCTATCGGCTGCATAGAATGAAAGCGTGTGTCTGTGTGTGTGTGTGTGTGTATGAGAGAGAGAGAGAGAGAGAAAGAACGACAAGAAGAGAGATAAAAAGTGGATGAATCATTCGAGTGTGTGTGGGCATCAGGGTATTCGTCTTCTCTCTCTCTCTCTCTCTCATTGTGGGTGAGCCACCTGCTGTTTTGATCATCTCTCTATTCTCTCGCTCAGCTGATAAGTCTGCAAGCGGATGCTTGAAGCTCTACAACATCTCTCTCTCTCTCTCTCTCTCTCTCCCCCCCCCCTCGCTCGTCGTTTCATTCCTCCCTTATCTCGCGCCCGCTGTAGCTTCGATGACGAGCCGACTCGTGCTGTCAGGAGGAAACAAGTCGAGAAGTACACACACACACACACGTGCGTGTCGCCACACACCGGGGGATTTAAGATGCTTATGTTTGATTCAGCTTTAATCTTCTCGTCCACCTCGTCCTCATCTGCTGCCAGTTTGAGCTTCGCTTTGATCCGATCACACGTAGAGATGTTCTGGGAAGTTTAAAGGTGGAACGGCTCTGATCTCCAGTCAAATGTGATCATAAGGCCGACGACATCAACACAACCAATCAAAGTTCACGTATTTGCTTTATTGACAATAATTGGAAAGGAAGGAAAACTTGAATTTGATTTTACGGTTCCAGCGACTCTGGGCAGGGAGTCAGTCTTCTTGGAGTCAGTTTAATTTTTCTCTGATTAATCAATTAATCCCTATAACATATATTAAATCTGCAATTAATAATAATATAAAAACAAATTCTTGCGTTGGAACCAGATCTGACTGAAGTAATTGGTAGATTATCTTAAATTAATCATAATTGATAAAGATCAATTGATTAATCTAATAATCATTTCACTGGTAAAGATCAGAGATGGTCAAGAACTGGAAATATCTCAGCGTCACAAGGATAAAGTGAGTCAATGATGACTTTTTGTGTCTGTGTGTGTGTGTGTAGCCTCCCACCAGCCGTGCAGGTCAGTTGAGTTCATGTGCAGCAGCGGGATGTGCATCAACGCTGGCTGGAGGTGTGACGGCGAGTACGACTGTGACGACCAGTCAGACGAGAGGAACTGCAGTGAGTAGCTTGCGTTCATCGCAGTTAGTGAACGAGTATCATCAAAGTGTCTCAGGTTAGAAGTGCATATCTGCAAATGTGTACGTTCACTTTTTTAATTCCCTGTTTGTCTCACGCCACGTCTCAGCCACGTCCATGTGCACGGCCGACCAGTTCCGCTGCGGGACCGGGCGCTGCGTGCGGTTGTCGTGGAGATGCGACGGCGAGGATGACTGCTCGGATCGCAGCGACGAAGAGGGCTGTGAGAAAACTGGTGAGACCGAGGTTTTTTTTTAAATCTGTGTTTTCAGCAGCTAAATATAACACAAGCTTCAGTGGTTGTCATGACAACAGCTCAGAACAGCCCTCCACTGACAAACTCTTCTTCACCAACTGTTAAATGTGAGAAAAAAACATTTTCCAATACAACCAAAGACGTTTAAAGCATAAACACTGAAGTCAGAATACTGCAGGTCTGTGTCGTCTCAGTGGATATTTGACCTCACCCTCCACAGAGAGTCCTCCGTGTGCTCCGGATCAGTTCCAGTGTGGAAACGGACGCTGCATCGGTCAGAGGAAAGTGTGTAACGAGGTCAACGACTGTGGAGACGGGACTGACGAGCACCCGCATCACGACTGCCGTGAGTTGATCCTTTAAAACTCGCAGAAATACACACAATTTGAAGTAATACTTTAAAGCAACAATGTAACGACTGCATCAGGGTTTGAGTCATGAAGACTAATGTGATTAAACATAATGGTTTTTTAATTGTTCATTGAAATGAATTGACATTCAGAATGTGACTTTGCTTTAGACAGCAGCCAAAGGGACAAAGACTCTTATTGTAGATGAAGAGTTATGAAATGATTTACACGCTTTGTACTGTCGGTGTTGTCACTGCAGAGTTGAGTGAGCCTCCTGAGAATGGAAAATCAGGACAATTCGAATTCACAATGGGTGAGAGGGCGTATTGATTATGCCTCTAACACACTGCGGACAAAAAACTGGAACAAGACAAATATCTCGTCAACTTGTAAAAAAAAGAGGATGAGATTCAAGAGCTTTTGGTGATAACAACATGTCCCAGCTTCCATCTGGCCTTTAGATTAGTATATTTATGTGTTCAAGGAAATTTTAAACTCAAATAGAGTCGTTTCATATCCAAGACGCCCTCCCTGTCCTCAGGCCTCGCCGCCTGAGGGACAGATACATTACGAGGCTCAACACCAGATGAGTCAGATACTTTTTGCAGTGTGTGGTTGTATTTATACTGAATCAGCATGCTGTGTTTATGTTCCTCGTGCAGGACCGCGCTCCAGCGAGGGCAACTGTAACCAGAATAATGGAGGCTGCTCCCAGAAGTGTCAGATGGTCAGAGGACTGGTCCAGTGCACCTGTCACACTGGATACCGACTGATGGACGACGGCAAAGCCTGCCAGGGTACTGCTGTGTGTGTGTGTGTGTGTGTGTGTGTGTGTGTCTGTGTGTACACATTACAAGCTGACACAGTTTACACTGACAGTGAGTGAGCAGGCTTTGGGTGAGAATGTTCATGACCTCTGCAGAGTTTGTCGACTTCCCCAAAATGAACCTGAGAGAAACAGGACATTGAACTGTGACATTTAAGAATCATTTTGATCAAATTCCAAACTTGCACTGAATCATGAACGAGGAAGAGAAAGTAAAATGTACTGACAGGCCCAATATTGCAAAGGGAAGTAAGGAAAGAAATCAAAACCTAACTTCCCAATTTTGGCCAGATTTCAGTTTTCAGTGCTGCAGCCTACTGAGTTTTTATGTCAGCAGAATATTTCCAGGAGATTATCTTGGAACCAATTTTTATTCTCAGAATTTACAAAATCAAGTCTTTGTTCCCAGTGCTGTGTTTTCAAAGTTGAGTAGGACGTGGATGAGTTTCTGAAGCGTGAACAGTTTTTTTCACGTCCTCCCACCTCTGTCCACTTTGCTTTCTGTTCAACACCTAAATCTCTCTGTCCCTCCTCTTGTCGTCTCCTTCTAGATGTGGACGAGTGTGCCGAAGAAGGCTACTGCAGCCAGGGCTGCACGAACACGGAGGGGGGGTTCCAGTGCTGGTGCGTTCAGGGCTACGAGCTCCGGCCCGACAAGCGCAGCTGCAAAGCTCTGGGTAAAAACCACTGTACTACGCTTCAACCTTGACATGTGACCACAGAGAGCCACTGGGGTTTGACCTCCAATAAAAACACGGTTGCACAGTGTTTATACTTGCCTCGACAGTAACTGTATCCACTCCTCTGCTGCGAGGTAATGGACTCAGAATGAGGTTGGCTCATTCCGAGGGTCTGGTCTAGATTTAGATACGCTGTGGAGGTATAGTCGAGTGCAGGCCTGGTACAGCGGCCCATAAATCTGCCGCAGACCAGAGTTAAACCCAGGTCAGGACCGTCTCTCTGGCAGTTGCCCGCACCCAGACCTTCACCTCTATTGAGATTAATGCTCACTGTTATTAAAAGTGACCATCACTCCCAACTCCAATTTTGTTCTCATGTTTGTCTTCTCTCCGTCGTCCTCTCCCTGTCCTTGTTTCTCTCTTCCTCTCAGGTCCAGAGCCAGTCCTGCTGTTCGCCAACCGCATCGACATCCGGCAGGTTTTGCCGCATCGCTCCGAGTACACGCTGCTGCTCAACAACCTGGAGAACGCCATCGCCCTGGACTTCCACCACAGCCACGAGCTGGTGTTCTGGTCGGACGTGACGCTGGACCGCATCATGAAGGCCAACCTCAACGGCTCCAACGTGGAGGAGGTCGTCTCCACCGGTCTGGAGAGCCCAGGTGGGTACGGCGGGTTCAAACTCAGGACAAGCGGCTCATCAATCGTTTTTTTCCAATTTATTCAACTGGGCTGTTTTATGTCCAGCTATACTCTGCTGCCGCTCACTTCATCCATCACCTCGGTCATATGTTAGTTCAGCAGGATGACATTAATACTCTTTTTTCTATCAAACTCTTATTTTCGAGTCACTTATTCCCTTTTTTTTCAGTCTGTTCTTTTATATCTTTGATGCTTCCTCCCTGCCACATTGTCTCTTGCTCTTTTTAACTCATTTTTTTATCTTCTTATTATTTCCCTCAGAGTTCATGTTTCTCATTTATTCTTCCTTGAATCGCTGTTTTGTTCCTTTTACTCTCCTGGTTCTTTTATAGCCTCAATTCCAATCTTCCTTAAACACATATACGCACAGTAAACAGTAGTGAGATGTAGAACGGTGTAACAACTTGTTTTCTGTGACTCTTGAAAGAATAGGTCAACATTGTGGGAAGCATAGTTATTACTTTGATTCCTACGTTTACATCTATACTGCTACGAAATACACAATCCATGACCTTTCACGTAAACTAGGTGTCTGTGTGTGCAGGTGTAAACAGGAAGAAGATTGACTACTCTGCAGTTGGTTGCTTAGTTACAGAAAATACTACGAACGAGAAACAATGATTAAAAAATAAAGATGAGGGATTTCATATCTTAGTCATCTAAATTATTTGCAGAAAGCATTTACAACAGTTTTCCATTGTTTTGTCGTGATATTATCAGACTGTTTTCTATGATATGAGTTTATATTGAAACAAATAGAAATAACAAATAGAAATAAAATGTGTTTTTCTCTCCATCAGGTGGACTGGCCATAGACTGGATCCATGATAAGTTGTACTGGACAGACTCTGGGACTTCCCGCATCGAGGTGGCCAATCTGGACGGGACGCACCGCAAGGTGCTGCTGTGGCAGAACATGGAGAAGCCCCGAGCCATCGCACTGCACCCTATAGAGGGGTACGAGTCTAAACGCACTCACTCAATCTATACAAGTCATTACAGATGGTTTCAAATGTATACACAGTTGTATATGCATATCCCCACTGGATGTGTCCCAGTTGTAGTGAAGGAGCACAGCAGGGATTAAAGTCTGGCAGCACAGCAGTACCCACGGGCGAGCATCTGTGGGGAACAAGTATTTCATGAAATAGGCAGCGGCTAAGCATGTTTTCCACCCTGGATTCATGTGCTGCAGCACCAGGAGAGAGGTTTAGACGAAGCCCCGGAGAAATTTAAAGCGAGAAAACTCATTCAGCTTATTAGGTAGCTCATTTGCATGGGATAATTGAAAATATTCTAAAAAAGAGGTAGCTCTTCCCTCTGAGGCCGGTCAGAACAGACGAGTAATGATGTGGATGTAGACGACAGAGACTTTTTATTTCACTCAGACATCTGCTGTGTCTTGAATCATGACAACAATCTGTTTACCACTTGTCTTTTGTGGACGCCACAAGGATCAGATCATTCTGCTCAAACAGCTTGCAGCCTCCCAGATGGTAACAAGTAAACTAACCACGACTGTCCCTTTTTCCTCTTTAGGAAGATCTACTGGACGGACTGGGGGAACACACCTCGCATCGAGTACGCCAACATGGATGGATCGAACCGGCGGGTCATCGCAGACACGCACCTGTTCTGGCCCAACGGCCTCACTATCGACTACGCAGGCCACCGCATGTACTGGGTGGACGCCAAACACCATGTCATCGAGAAGGCTGACCTGGACGGACGCAACCGCAAAGCCGTCATCAGCCAAGGTAAAGTCTCAGCTGTTAAGTTTCAGAGTTTGTTTCTGATACTTCTGTGTGAAATGTTACTTTTGGTTTCACTTATTTATGTACTACATGCCAGCATATCCTGTGTGTGTGTTTGTGTACAAAATAACGACAAAGCACATGGACAGATTTTCACCAAACTTGGTAGAAGTATTATTTGGGAGGGTTTTTCCTGATGATTAACTTTTGCAGCTGATGTCACACAAGCACTCTCTCACAGAGCTTCATAGTTTTGGTGTTATCTTTTGAGTTTATGCTCAACCCTGCCTGTCTGCAGAGGATGGTAAAAAAACTTTATGGATGTTCTAATGAGCTACTGATGCGAGCAGGATTTTTTCAGGTGTTGCTGATGGTGACAGATGGGTCAGTGTGAGAGAAAGAGAGCGAGCCAGAGAGAATTGAGTGTGAAACTGTGGTGGGGGAAAATATTGTATATATATATTGTTTATCACAACAAAGGGAATGGATCAGCCCTCCGATGCTTTTCATGGATCCTTAAAAAATACTTTCCTTCTTTGCTGGTTTTGAACATTTTTGGTGAACAGGAGATACTCAACCTTTACTCCCTCACATGTTAAAATGAATGAAATAAAATGAAACCTGAAGGGCCTCTGTTTAAAATAATGTTACGACGACCTTGTGAACCTGAAAAACGAAGCTTTGGTAGTTGTTTGTCGTTCACTGAAGAAGTTCAGAGGTTTCTCTGAAAGCTCCAAGTGAGGCGGAGAGAAACAGAGGAGCTGTGGTCTGCAGACGTCTGGCTTGAGTTCACATTCTCCTTAGTTACCACACACACACACACACACACACACACACACACACACACACACACACACACACACACAC